CAGTACCTTCTTCAGTGAGGCAGGTCACATCCTGCTTCTTTCTTCAGCGGTCTAGGCAGGACTGGGGAGGAATGGGCTTCCTCCTTCCCAGCATTCTCCTGTTCTCATTGCCCCACCCCTACTTCCTGTCTGGTTGACCCGCCTATACTTCCTGCCTGGCCAATCAGCATTTATTTAAAATATGATTGACAGAATACAGACAATTCTCCCGCACCACCAGCTCACTGTTGAGAGGCAGTGCTGGCTCCCTGAAGGTTTTTATGCATGCCAGTGGTCGGCTGATGAAAGGCCTCCACCTGTGCCTCCCCGAGATCAGGCTAAGCAGGAGCAGCAGGGTGGTGGCGAGGGCTGGGGCGGGGGGTCTTCTGATTAAAAAAAAAAACAAAAAACTAAGGGGATGCCAGATCAGAACTGAGTGCAAAGCCAGACAGGTTGCAACAAGCAGAAGAAGCAGGCACAGTTCTTGGCCAGGAGAGGGAAAGAGGAAAGAGAAGCACACAGCCACACAGCAGGAGGCAGAGACAAAAGAGTGCCTTCATTCAGGCAATCAACAAAGCCTTGCCTAGCTGGAGCTGTGTGCCAGGTGCTGTTCTAGGCTCCAAGGCCTCTGTGATGATAGAGTCTCTGCCTTTGTGGAGTGTGTATGATAGGGAAGTAACATCTTTTTAATAATAATAAACACTATGATAAAGGCAGATGTTATGAAAGAAACAGACTGATAGAAACCCCCCACAGAGTGTGCCTCATGAGAGAGGAAGGGACTTAAAAAAAAAAAATCAGATAGAAAAGGGCACTTGGAGACTCTGGCATCTGAATTGACACCTGAATGGTGCAGAGGAGCCAGGTAAGGAGCAATCCAGGGGGTGTCCGGAGCATTCATTCCACGGGAAATGCAAGGGCCCTTTGCCACAGGAATGAGCTTGGCATTTCAAGGAAGAGATAACAGATCAGCGTGGTGGAAGGAGTGGGAGGTGGGGCCAATTTGCGTCGTGTCCCGGGGATCATCAAGGGGTTTGGAATTTATCCTGTGAGTAATGAGAATCCACAAGGTGGTTTTAAGCAAGGGAATTGCTTGATCTGAGTTCTGAGAATGTCCCTCCTCTGTGGCCATGGAGTTTTCTAAAACAAACAAGAATGAGCCGATCTTATTTTCTTGGGGGATAGAGGGGGCTAAGGAGGTGGGGAAGACAGAGGATTAAGAATTTCAGGATACGTGACAAATCTTGATCACTGTGGAGTGTTTGATAAAGGTTCTCACGGAGGCGTGGAGATTGGCTGATATCAGATTGCTTTATTTCCCCCACATGTTGATCCCGGATTACTGTCATGCTGGATGCAGGGTCTTTGACAGTGTCCCCATGGCCTTGCCCTGGAGTCTTCCCCAGTTCGACATTTCTACCTGTGAACTGGTGGAAGACTCAGAGGACACGCTCATCAGACACACAGCCGACATGTGGCTGTCAGGGATGGCTAACGTCACAGATGACAGGCTCAAGGATCACGGTGCTGATCCTCCAAGGACTGGCATTAGGGGATGAAAGTGACAACATCCCTGATTGCATTCAGACTGGGGAACAAATGCGGTGGGACTTTGATGGAGGAACTCTCCAGAAAGAAAGCTGGCTAAGGCTGGAGGGGTGAGTACAGGAAGTGGACCAGCTGTGCTCCTCCACATCAGCCTCCTCCCTACCATGGTGACAAGGTCCCCCATCTTTGGAAGGGAAACTGTTCCTGTCTGTGAAGTAGGGATGTGGAAGGGGCCAAGTGTGTGCATGATTGCCTATACGTGGCCTCCCTGCTGGCTATTGGTAGATTCATAATAAATGATGCCTCCCTCGAGTAACCTTTGTGGGTGATACCAGGAGAGCTCATAGCCAGAGTGGGCTTCTCTATTTTAGGTATTTTAGGTACAGTGTTTACTTCTAACTTTCTTTTTGTTTCTTTTTTTTCTTTGTTTGTTCCTTTTTTAGTTTTTCAAGACAGGCTGTCTCTGTGTAGCTTTGGAGCCTGTCCTGAAACTCGCTCTGTAGACCAGGCTGGCCTTGAACTCACAGAGATCCACCTGCTTCTGCCTCCCAAATGCTGGGATTAAAGGTGTGCGCCACCACCACCCGGCTACTTCTAATTTTTTAACAAACCCCATCGACCTTGGCTGAGTATCCAGAGGGGAACGAGCTGGACGAGCCGGGATAGAACTGATCCAGGTGCCCACAGTCCGGTGGTGATGGCAGGCTTTACAGAGTGACCGGCTGGCTTGCTGTGTAGCAGGCTTGTGCTACGTCGGTGGCTAACTTACCTACTTCATGCTATCGTCAGAGTCTAACCCGGAGAAGAGGGCGTGGCCTTACTTGACCTATGCCAGGGGGAAGACAAGGCTTACACGGGAACTAACAACACAGAATTCCCACTCAGCATCCACTGGTCCTTGTCCACCACCTGCTTTCCAGGTTGGGAATGACGGGGTTTGGAGGAGGTACCAGTTGGGCATCAAGTAGGGACTGTGCCTGGAGTGTTTTTGATACCAGGGCCTCAAACACCTTTTAGAAGGTGTTTCTGTGGAGGACTGAGGGGATGGCTTAGTCATGCAAGTACTTGCTTTGAAGTGTGAGCACCGAAATTCAGTTCCTAGAACCCACACGAAAGCGGCAGGTGTGACCTATGTGCTTGTAATCCCCACCCTGGGGAGATAGAGACTGGAGGATCACTGGGGCTTACTGGTCAACTGGGTGATGAACTCGAGGCCAGTAAGGGGCCCTGTGAACAGTATTCCTGGGGAAGATAACTGAACTTGACCTCTGACTTCACACATTAACCCCCCCCCCACACACACACACACACATGCACAGCTCATACATACTCACATACACAAACACACAGAGAGACACTGGGGGGAAAAGAAGCCGCTTTCCTGCCACTTTGCAATTTTGAAAATTCAGTGGTGACTCGTGTGTGTGTGTGTGTAACCCAGAAACCAAATATAGACACCAGTAGACTGACTAGCGCGATGGCCCCAGGTGTCTGCTTCCAGCTTTCCCCATGATTGACACGTGCGGCCTGTGAAGGATCTTGTGTGTTGTACCCTCTCTCTCTCTCCCTCTCTCCCTCCCTCCCTCAGCTGGCTTAGTTTTAAAGGAAGCCCCAGACATCGTTGATCTGTACATATTTAACATGTAGCTCTGAGAGATAAGGGATGCTTTTTGTTTGTTATTTAAGTGTGACCACAATGCCATGTTCACAGTGTTAAGAAATAAGCATCATTGGGGTGAGGCGAATTCAGAAGAGCTATTGGCATACAGCTGGCTTTGCAAGGCAGTGGAGGCAGGGAAGGGAAAGCAAAAACCAGTCCTTCAAGGGACTGATCCCTAGGACTTGAGACTCACCTGATTCCTTGAAAGGAGGAGGAGGAGGAACTGAAACTTGGGGGCATCCTCTTTACTCTGATTGTTCCTGGGGCACAGCAGTGAGAGTAGGGCCTATTTATAGCCCTAAGTCTAGACATGAGAAGGAGGGAAAGGGATGGGAATATTCGAGAGGGCTGGGGAGAGCGAGAGAAGAGTAGGAAGGAAAGAGAAACTGAGAAGAGAGGAAGGAAAGCAGGCTGTGGACTATCAGGGACAGGCTCTGCTCCACTCTGGAGGCAACTGTGAGCCCGCCTGTTTCTGTGCAGATCTCTGTGTATCGAGGTGTGCTGCACACTGTGTGTGTGTGTGTGTGCGTGTGTGTGTGCACGTGTGTTCTCATAAGCAAACAGCACTACCAGGAAAGCAGGGACATCCCATGAACACCGTCTTGGGTATTTTTCATGGCTTCTTGGTGGATAGCGGATTGTCAAGACAGACCCTCTTTGATTTGCCCACAGTGATGCTGCAGGAGCTGAGCCCCACTCATGCATCCCGTTCATTTTTTTTAGCCTCTGTCTCTTAACCATCTTTCCTCTTTGTGTACCTTGAGTGGCTGCTGAGCAAGTTTCCAGAATGTTCCAGGCATAGGCAACTCGATCTACCCCTCCCAGGAACCCTTCCTGTATGCATAGCAGGTACTTCTAAGCTGCGGGAACCTGACTCCCCTGGGAATGCAGTGGAGGAAGGTGCACCCCTCGCCAAGATTGCTGGTGGGTAGTTGAGAGGCCAGGCTTACCAATTTCTCCCTCACCTGAAGAGAACCAGTAACCAGCAACTAGGAATTCATTGGCTAATCAAGCGTCATCAGGCTATTGGAGTCTAGATCAGTAATGGAGACGAGGGACAGGGACACAGGAGGACAGGAAGGGCCTTGTGAACTGCTTCAGGGTCCAGCCAAGTGCTGCTGTCATCCACAATAACATTCCAATTCAGAGGCCATGGCCCTGGCAGAGGCCATGCCAGCGAGGCTAGCTACAGATATCCAGATGGTCACACTGTGGAATCCAGAGTTCAGGGTCTGGTCAGACTGAGCCTGAGCTATCTGGACATAGCTGACAGGTGTGTGACCCTTGTGACAGAGTGTCTACACTGTTCAAATGCCCCCTCCGTGGCTCCTGGAACTCACACAAGGATGCCGGAGTATCTGAGATGCTTGCTCAGGGCCACACAGATTAAAGTTGACAGAGGTTGGTGTGAGCCCTATCGCACGCTCCACTATCCTGCAAGAGGGGGCTAGCTGTGTTGTACTCCTGGGGAGACTTCTTCAGGCTCTAGATCGTTTGCTTTGAACTGCTGAGTCACAGCCAGCCCCTTTGCTGCTGGGCAAATTTCCCCAGGGAACTATCTCCCTGCTGTTTGTTGCCTCAGGGCTGAGGAGGATAGGACAGGCGTCTTCGACATTATAGCCTAGTAGGTGATGTTGGCTTTGTGTCCACCTGATGCATGTTTCCCTCTTGAGAAAGCAACAGGTTTTTCTCCTTAGGAAACAAATTTGAACAGGTTGTGACCCTGTCTTCTTCCCCGGAGGCCTGCGCCCTGCTGGCGAGCCACCCCGTTGATGAGAGGCCTAACTCCACTGTGTCTTTGAACTTTTTGCAGAGCTCTGGAGCTGAGCAGTGGCAAGGATGAGATCTCCCTGCTGGTGGAGCAGGAGTTCTTGAGCCTCACCAAAGAACATCTCATCTTGGTCCAGGAGGGCCCTGGGGAGCTGGCAACACCTATCGTCACTTCCCAGGGGACCCCGGAGCTGGCTCCCTGCTTCCTTGTGCCTCCTCTGGAGGCAGACAGCACTGACTACCCGGGATCCTCTCTAATGGCTGGTGACAAGCTTCCGGAGCAGAAGCTGCCCACTCCCATCATCAGTAGCAGGCAGGACTGTGATTCGGCCATGTCTACAGTCACAGGCATCCTGCGTGCCGCCAAGGTCAAGAGTGTCAAGGGAACTAAGGACAAAAGCCATAGCCTGGGTGCCTCTAATTCAGAGATCAGCAAGCTCCTGGCCCAGTTCCCACTGAAGTCTACCAAAACGTCCAAGGCTCCCGACAACAAGATGGTGCTGGAAGAGACCAAGGTCATTAAAGATTTCCTGCAGAATAGCATGTTCAATGGCTCTGGACCCCGGGAGCCCATGGGGCTGGGCCCGTTCCTGCTGCTGCCACCCCCACCCCCTCCTGCACTCCCTGACAAGCCCCCAGAGTTCTCTTCTCCGAAAAGGCAGCTCCCAGTGTTTGCCAAGATCTGCTCCAAGACCGAGACTGACCCCACTCTTGAGGGCCACCACTGGATTGGTGAGTGGGCCTGGGAGCAGGGATGCGAGGGGTTTCCAGGGAGGAGGGCCTTGCTCTAAAAAACTGATGAAGGCCACGTTATATCTTGGTGCAAAGCAACACAACACAGCACCCTCCCCTCTCCTGTGTGTGTGTGTGTGTGTGTGTGTGTGTGTGTGTGTGTAGGCCAGAGGTGTCAGGTGACCTCCCCTGTGCCTCTCCATCTTATTTCCTTAGTAGGGCCTTTCACTCACCTCATAGGTAGCCTACCAATTCATCTAGAGGAGCTGGCCAGTGGGCTCCAGGGATCGTGGCTCTGCCGCCCCAGGACGAAGATTCCAGTCACACATCACCACATGTAGCTTTTTATATAGATGCTGGGAACACAAACTCAAGTTCTCAGGATGCTGTGGCAAGAATCTCACTAACTTAGCCTCTTTCCGGGCCCTGGGAATGGTGTAATTTCTGACTTTCCTAGGTACCCAGAAGATGCTGGAGGAAGTATTTACATTATAAGGAAAGATCTCAGTCTGGGGTCCAGGCTAGGAGAGAAAATTGATTGGCAGCTGAGGGTATTTGACTTCTAATGGAGGCACCCACCCTGCTCATCAGGACTGGTCCACTCTCTCTAGGGCTTAAGGTATCCAGACACAGTTCAAACTGTTGGTCCTAATTTGTTCTCTAAAGGCTTAGCTACATGTGTTTTCAACCCCTGAACGGGGACTCCACAGTCCTCCCAGAAAACTCAACCCCCTTGCAGTGCTCCCTACTCTTCCCTGAGTTTCTGCATTGTGTATGTTCAGACTGAATGACAGAGCCATTTGCCCACAGTCCCCAGTTACTAGGAGAATAGATTCTACTCATGACAGCCAAAAGAAAGGTCACCCCCCAGGCTGAAGTGTGATGGCTACCTGACAGTGCCTGCCCAAATCCACTTCTCTGAGATCCAAGAACAAGGTGACCTTCCAGAGTATTCTACATTCTGGAGCACTTGTGGGACCCCAGGAAATCAGAGCTGAGATGAGCAACTGGACTCAGTGCCCAGCAGGCCTGAAGGAGTCACAGGCTTTGGGATGATGGCCGTGGGTATGAGAGGCTTGGACCCCCACCCCCACCCCGGGAGGGAGGGAAATACCTCTCATTCTAGAGGGGATCCTTCATGTTCCTTGCTGAGAGGGGCGCCAGGTGATGGGTATCTTGTCTGTCTCTCCTCCCCACACTCATAAGAGCCCTTTGCACAAACCCATGGGGAAGGTTGCCAGAGGGAGCTTCGTGCAGGGTGCAGGGTGAGAGCATTCGTTAGGGAAAGCACAGGAGTGGCCCATCTGAGGGTGCCTGTCTGTATATCGGGGTGAGTGTGTTTGTCATGTGTGTGTCTGTATAGTTAGGAGGCAGAGGGTAAGATAGGTGTGTGTGTGTGTGTGTGTGTGTGTGTGTATGTGTGTGTGTGTGTGTGAGAGAGAGAGAGAGAGAGAGAACCCAGATGTCAGCGGGGTCTTACAGATGTTCAAGGGGCTGACTGTAGATGTGTGAGAAGCTGCAAATATACCAGTCTCTGGGGTGGTGGTGGCTATTATTAGTGAGTATATTATTTCAGCATTCTAGCTGGGGGCTAAACTCAGCATCCAGAGGAACTCCTGGAGGAGACTCTGGGGACATGTTCTGCTAAAATTGTCCTAGACTTCTAAATTGGTCTTAGCTAGAGCAGGGCTTCCCTTTGCTGGGAAGGTAAGGTCCAGGTCCATGCAGAGACTCTCAGGGGCCGATGGGCTGGGTTTCAGGGGTCCTTGATACGGTGGGATCACGTCTAGCCATAGGTAATGACTGAAGCACAGGGCCTCAGATCCAGTTGGTACCAGAGTTCCCAGGTGCCCACAGGCTGTTCAGAGCAGCACAGAGCCATCATGGGCTTCTTAGCCACGCTCTGTGGAGGCTTTCAGAGACAGTCGGTCTGAGGAAAGAGTGAAGGGCAGAGGGCAAAACCCACTTTCTGCTTCTAACAGAGAAATGCCTTAATAATAATGATGTCCACATGTGAATACACACACACACACACACACACACACACACACACATAATTTATGTGTATACACATTTATAAAGCAGTCTCTCTAGTTCTTGGTCCCAGGAACCCCTCAAATATTCAGCCCATAGATGCTCAAGAGCCTTATACATAATGGCATACAACCTCCGCATCCCCTCCTACACATTGTAAGCCATCTGTAGATTACTGATGCTGCCTAATCCAATGTAAATGCTGTATAAACGGTGATTACAGCCTCTTGTTTAGGGAATGATGACAAGAAATTCTGTGTGTTTTCAGGAAGAATGCAATTCTTACTTAGAATGTTTTGCATCCACTGTTACACACACACACTCCATTCATGATAACATGGAGGGAAATGTGGATGAGAGCTCCGTGGAGGTGTCACAGTGTCCTTCTGCAGGGGATGGGTGCTCGGTATATTTGCAGTGAGACCTGAGTCTGGCACCCATTGAGTCCCTTCTGTAAAAGTCGTTTATGATGACGCTCTTTGTCCCTTTCATGTTTCCTGGTATGTGTCTGTGGTTTCCCAGGCCTGTAATGCATGCCTGTTGACCATGAATGAGAATCTTACTAAACCTTCTTTCCTTCCTGCTTGAAGGATCTTCTTAGACAGACGAGATCCCAGTCATTGTGTCCTCTCCCATTTTGTCTCTTTGTCACCTCATGGTGCCCATCTGCCTTGTCCTAGAGCTATTTTTGGGCACATCTCCCTCTTCCTTGTGTGAGCTTCTGCAGGGCAGCCTGGCTCTGACTCATCACTTTGTCCCCAGTACTCAGGGCAAGGCCTGGTGCTGATGGGAGAGCTGAATTGCCTGTGAGAATCACAGCAGGGGTGAAGTTCATGATGAGGGCCTAAGCAGCATGGCTCCACTGTGTGTCCTGTAGGGATGTGCATCTCTTTACCTAGGCCACGTGTTCCCTCATTGCTAAACCACGTCCAAGCTACCTCATGTCCTTAGCCTGGCCCTACAGATAGAAAGAAGGAAGGGGGGCATGGTAGGAGAAGGAAGAAAAGAAGGGAGGGAGGAAGGGAAGAATGAAAATTAATGGCAGGCATAGTGGTACATATTTTTAGTCTCAGCACTCAAGAGGCAGAGACAAGTAGATTGCTGGGACCTTAAGGCCCTGGTCTACATAGAGAGTTTGAGGTCAACCAGGGCTACACAATGAGGCCCTGTCTAAGAAAGAAAAAGAAAAGAAAAGGAAAGAAAAAGACATGTGTAGATGGATAGATGAATGGATAGACAACTGGATAGATAGATGCTAGGTGGATAGATGATGGATGGACAGATAGGCAGACGAACAGATGAATGAATAAATGGGTAAGTGACTGGCTGAATAAATCAATGGACAGATGAATGGACTGGTGAGTGACAGGGAAGATGGATGGATGGATGGGTAAATAGACAGACGGATGGATGGGTGGACAAATGGTTAGATGGATAGATAGATGGATGGATGGATGGATGGATGGATGGATGGATGGATGGATGGATGAATATGTGGGTGAATGGATCAATGGGCAGATGGATGAGGAGACAGGTGACTCAAGAGTGCCTGTCTAAGACAGGGAGGTCAGAATGGGCAGCAACCAGAGCAGACTTCAGCATGAACCTGGGGTTGAACCTGACAGAGATACACACAGTCCCTGGACCTCAGTATGAGATATGGGCTGCAAGAAATTAATCTACAAGACATATTTGCTTCCCAGAGGCTTTGACTCGGTTTCCCTCTCTCTGTAGAACGAACCCCTGGCACCAAAGAGCTGACCAAAGGTCGAGAGAGCCTCTTTCTCAGTCAATGGCCCCAGAACCGGAAGGACAGTTGTGGTGAGGAGGGTCACAGCGACTCAATGGGCACCATCTCCATGACCCTGCCAACCAAGAAGCCTGTGTGGCCGGCTGAGAAGAACCTGCTTTACGAGTTCTTTGGGGCTGCCAAGAACCCCAGTGGGCAGCTGAGGCTTCGAGGCAAAGTGGATATGGATGGGCTGGATCTGAAGTGTAAGTGGACCTTCCCTGGGTGAGTACCCAGAAACCATCATAAGTCCAGGCAGGCTACCTCATTCTGTCCATGGGCAATCTTGGGTGTCAGGATTTTTAACTCTGTAAAATGGAGGAAATGATTTTCTCCCAGCATCCCCTAAGGGAATCCAATTGCTAGAGGAGTGTAATTGGTTTTCAGAGATCTCACGGGCACAAACAATAACTGATGTTGTCCACAGTCCCAACCTGAGATTTATTACAGCTTCTCAGTGTGTCCAGGCCACAGAGAAACCCGTACTTTGTAGTCTTTCCATGTTAAGATTACCCAGGGTGTCTTCCTCCCCTTTACCTCATGACGGCTGCTTCGGTCATGAAGTCAAAACCCCTTTCCAAACACAAACAGATTAACACAAAAGGATGCTGCGGAGGGACGTGTTTCTGGTTCCGTTGTCCATGGATGTCTCTGTCGAAAAGAATAACAAATAATTAAACATAACCTCATGCTTTAGAACTCAGTGTTAAGTTAGCCCACACTGAACTATCTCATGTTTCTGAATACTCAGGAGAACATTGAGAGCTAGAGAGATGGCTCAGTGGTTAAGGGAGCTGACTGCTCTTCCAAACGACCGGATTTCAGTCCCCAGCACCCACTATGGGTGGTTTACAGGCTTCAGGAGTTTTAACACCTGCCCTCTTTACACACACATGCACATAAAGAAAAATAAAGATTCATATTTAAAACATTTAGGAAACTATTCCCATATAGGAACAACAACCTGTACAGAGTTTCTAGCATCACTCAGTATCCAGCTCTGGTTGGGGTAGGTTTAATCATTAGAGGGAGACCCTTTGCAACAGCTTTGCACTTGTTTGCATAAAGCTAGAATTTGGTTTTGCAAGCAGGTGAAACCCAACCTTAGCCACGTGATTTATTGCATCCCTTGCTCACCAGCCTCATTTACCAGTGAGTGATAGAGAAGCCATTCCTTCCAAACGAGCAAGCGGTGCACTAATGATGGTTTCCCGGAGCTAGAAAGCTCCTGGACTTGGACAGACCCTCCTAGCCCTTAAAGGATGTGACACCGAGAGTTTGCATCCCTGGGTAGCTACCGTGCAGCCTCCCCCTGCTGCAAGCACTGAGCTGCCCCCCCCCGCTGTGACTTGCAGTTAACCCACCGACACTGGCACCAGTACCTGACAAGAACATTAAGTATGCCGGTAATGTGTTTGCCCCACGCTTCACCGCCGCCTTGACCTCGACCACCCTGAACCAGCCTCTCTGGCTCAATCTGAACTGTCCACCTCCACCAGTGTTCTCCAGCCACTCCACCTTCCCGCAGTATCAGGTAAGCAGGTGGCTCTGGCTTCGCAAAGGAGCCTGCTGTGCCAAGGGCCTTGGGACTCCCCTCTGATGCCATCCCTAACCAGAGGCCACTTGAGAACGAGAGTAGACACCGTCAGGCTGTGAAGCTCTGCTGCTATTTCCATTGTAACTGCACCGACTCACCACTTGGCACGCACACTCATGCACACACACACACACACACACACACACACACACACTTATATGCTCACGCATATGCATACCATATATGTACACATGATCTAGGGACCCTGTCTGAATGGGAGTTAGAAGTGCCACACAAAGGGAGAGTGAAGAACTTGTAGCCGGGTTTGAAATTTTACTCACGGAGCTTATTTATGCAGGGAAAATGTAGTTTCTTCATTTTGTCCATTTAACTTAATATCCCTTAAGAGCCGTGGCCCACTTGGTAGAAGGAAGAAAGAATCAAATAAATGTCCACTCTAGTTTAAGCCTGTGTCCGATCCAATAACTTAACAGTCCCCTTAGGTAGTGCTCCGTGTTTTCAGGAGAGGCGCTCAGCATCAAAGATTTTCCCAGCTTCAGCTCCCATCCCTGGCTCTTCTCCACAGGGGCTCAGCCCTGCCAATCCAGGGCTTTGGCCATTTGCTGACCTGGCCATGTCTGGAAAGGGGGCCTGGAGAAGAAATTGGGGTCACACTTGTCTTCCATCACATACCTTCTACCTGGAGCTAGTGCCTTTTCTTTGTACATACCAGAGCAAGAATGTGTATGTGATGGCTTAGACTTCTTAGGTCGGTTGAGAGCCTCTCTACTCCAGGGGCTCCCTGAGCTGACACCCCTTCATCTCCCTCTTAAAGAGCTTTGCAAAGAACCTGTCTCTGTTTCGTTTTCAACCTTTTCAGGAAGCATGAGTCCGCGCTTCTCCCTCCCTCTACAGGTAGAACACCTTGCAGTTCAGGACGAGGTGGAGATCATCCAGGGGCAACTGCAGGGCATCCTCCTCACATTAGTAGCAACATCCTCACACAGGCTCGAGAGAGGCCTCTGGGGCATTCATTCATGGCTTCCTTCACTGGCGTTCTCAGCCCCTTGCAATCTGGGGCTTGGCTAATCCCCATTCATTTATTCACCTACGCATTGGCCGACTCAGTCTTATTTATTTATTCATTCAGTTTTCTTGAGTAATCTTAAAGACTTCTGCTCTGTGGTTACTTTAGGTTGAGCACTGCACCGGGTGAGGGCACTCAGAGGTGAAGAGACTTGGAGTCCAGTGTAAGTTCAGGAGCAAATCAAAGGCCAGGGGGATACACTCGACCTCCAAACAGGAGACAATGGCATGCATGCTTTCCCACGGTGGGAAGTCACTCTCGCTGAATGCATGTACCGAGCAGGGTGTCAGGCTGCGCTGCTGTGCTCCACTGCTTGGCTTTTTGAGAGAGTAAAGTTTCGATATATTTTTCTGAGCATCAAATCCGTCCTGTGTCTTTAGAGACACTGGCGTTCATATTGTAGGGCTGACTGTGACTTTCCTACAGAAGGAGAGAAACTGAGTCAGTGGCTCTGGATGGCAAATAAGTAGAGAATACTTTCTTGTCGATCACATGGTATATTTTTCTGTAACACACACTGAAAGTTCAGCTCAGTTTAGTGTCTCAGACAGCTGTATCCCCAGGGAGATTCTGAAACATTCTCTAACTGCTGCTTATTCTGGCCTTTCTGCTTTATGTATCCATCTCTCCATCCACTTGACTGCTCATCCATTTTCCCCTCCATTCATTTACATACTATTCCTCTACTTATTTATCCTTACCCACCCATCCATCCATCCATCCATCCATCCATCCATCCATCCATCCATCCACCTATTCATCCATCCATCCATCCGCCCATCCATCCATCCACCCACCTATTCATCCATCCATCCATCCATCCATCCATCCATCCATCCATCCATCCAT